CAAGGTGTGGCTGTGATATACAGTGGATGTTTAAATAAACAAATACAGTATAAGACACACTGTCATTAGTCCCCCTGTAAAGTCCCCCCCCTCACTTTGAGCACACTCATCCCCTCATTCTGGCTACTTTCCGAAGCAGCTCTGGAAACCCTATTTCCTGAGTGTCTTTATAAGGTGTTATCAAAAATATGGTGACTGCTGCTGCTGAGAGCCACCCAGTAGCAAGGCAGCTTGTAAAAACACGAGCTGTGTCCTCATCCACCCTGCTCACCAGATCTGGCACCGTGTGACTTCTGGCTGTGCCCCAAAGTCAAAATCACCATGAAAGGGAAACGTTTTGAATCGACTCAGGACCCTGAGGCAGCCAGGACAGTACAACTAAAGACCCTCAGGAAAGAGGACTCCAGAGTTGCTTCAGAAAGCGGCAAGACAATGGGATGAGTGTGTCTGTAGCAATGGGGAAGATTTTGAGGGGGAGTCGTGTCTTTTACTGTAATAAAAATTTAAAAATATAAGCAGTCATGGTATTTTTCCAACACACTTCATATCCTCAGAAGTGGGATTCCTCTTGTTAGGCATGGTATAGCTGAGGCAGAGGAGTCACCACAAGTTCGAGGCCAGCCTGGGACACATAGTTCAAGGCCAGTCTGAACTGCATAGTGAGACCAGGTCTCAAAAAGAAGAAGAAGAGGAGGAGGAGGGGTCCCTAACTCAGCATGGGGCCTGGGACATGGGCCGAGAGGAGGCCGGAGATCACGAGTTCTCTCCTCTACCTGTCAGGGAACAAGGCTGCCTGATGCAGTGCCGGGGACCAGCAAGGTCTCACCACGCTGCCTGACTCAGCCTCCGCCAGCAGCGGCACCAGGAGACGAGGGACGTGGGGAGGGGCTGCTTTCTGTGCCCCTCCTCATCATCCCGGAAGTCTTCCAATGAAACAAACAGCCGTTACTTTTCCGTCCTACATGAAGGGCAAACACAGCCTTAAAACAAATCCCATTTTCCCTTCCAAATGACTGCCGTGTTTGAGCCCCGATATGGTTTGAGTCTAGATGTCCCCACCCCAAGTAGTGTGAATAAGATAAAAGTGGCAGGGAGATGCTGTTAAGGCTCCCTTGTTACCTTTGCTGCCTTATGCGTGTCATGTTGTTTTTCCTTGCGATGCCTGTTTCCCATCCCTGCCTCAGAGCCAGCCGACTATGGACTGAAACCTCATGAACTGTAAGCCAAACAAACCGCTTCCCCTCCAACCTTGGGTGTCGGGTATTTTGTCTCAGCAACAAAAGAAAAGTAACTAACACAAGCCCTTTCTGAAGAACGCTGGAGTTGCACTGGCCCTGTATCTCCAGGGTGACCAGTCTGGAGAGACAAGTTTAGAATAAGTATATTCTGACTGGATGCGGTGGCCATACCTGTCACCTTAGCACTGGGAGGCCGAGGGAGGAGGGTCTCAAGTTCGGGACCAATCCATGCTACTTAGCAAGTTCAAGGCCAGCATGGACTACACAGTGACACCCTGTCTCACCACCTCACTCCCCAAAATTGGCCGGCATGGTGGCACAGCCTGTAATCCCACTACTTGGAAAGCTGAGGCAGGAGGGTCTCAAGTCCTGGTCCTGCCAGAGCAATTTAGCAAGACCCTATCAAAAAAATGAAAAACCAGAAAGAGGGGTTGGGGTTGCAGCTCAGTGGTAAAGTGTCCTAGGTTCAATCCCCAGGACCGCAAAGGAGGAGAAGGAGAGGAGAATGAGGAGGAAGAGGAAGAAGAGGAAGGAGAAAGGAGAAGGGAAGTCATAAGAACAGAAAGAATGGCCAGGGCCAGGTTGTCTCAAGAACCGCTGCACATGCCTGCGTGCGTGCGTGCGTGCGTGTGTGTGTGTGTGTGTGTGAGAGCTAGGAGCTGGGCTGCTAACAGTCAGCTCTGAGAGGCAAAAAAGGAAGGGCAGAACGAGCAGGCTGTGCAGATTCTGGGACGGGAAGGAACACTGTGCACTTGAGGAACCGAAAGGAAACGGCCTGGGGCTGGAACCCGGCAAGGTGGGGAGAGTCTGGGGTGAGAGGGAGCCAGCGTAGGCCAAAGAAGTTCCTTTTTTTTGTAACGGAGATGGAGCTCAGGTCCTTGCACTTGTGAGGCAGGTGGCGGAACCACTGGGCTAAACCCCCAGCCCTTAAAATTTTTGATTTTGAGACAGGGTCTTGCTAAGTTGCCCAGGCTGGGCTCAAACTTGCAAGCCTTTTGCCTCAGACTTCTCCAGTGCTGGGATCACAGGAGTGTGTCACCACGCCCCTCTGGGCCAGGACAGTTGGGCGAGTGAGTGCCTGTGGGAGGGAGCCTAGGGAGTAGAGATTCCAGAAGGTGTGAGCTCCAGGTGTCCCAGGGAGCCCGAGAAATCCGAGAGATAAGGCCCCAGGGTGCTTGCAGGGTGAAGGAGAGGGAGGTCATGGTCACTCTTGCCCAGAGGGTGGAGTGAGGAGCCTGCGATGGAGGAGGAGTGGCGAGGAGTCTTCGGTCGCCAAGTGCTGAGAAAGCAGGAGCAGCGAGCAGGAAGAGAGTGCAGCCTAAGAGGTTTGCAGTTGGGGAGCACTGGCAGAGAGCGGCTTAGTTTGAGGTCAGCCTGGGTACACGGTGAGTTCAAGGCCAACCTGAAGGACATAGTGAGACCCTGTCTCAAAATTTTAAAAAGAAACGTTTTTTGGGTTTTTTGTTTGTTTTTTGAGACAGAATCTTGCTAATGTAGTTCAGGCTGGCCTTAAACTCACTATGTAGCCCACGATGGCCTTGAAGTCGAGGTGATCCTCCTGCTTCAGCCTCCCAGAGTGCGGGGATCATAGGTGTGCACCATCACCACAGGCTAGGGGAGGAGATTTGGGGGCCCAGAACCAACCAGATTGCTTTCTTAGTTTGCCCTATATATCCACAGCCCTTATCTCACTTAATCCTTCCAGCACTGTGGGATTGGGGACAAATGGTGAGGTTTAAACAGAAGGGTGAGCTCAGGGCCTGGGATTGGCAGTTGGGATGCAGCCGGCAGTGCACAACAGGCCATATGAGGCAATACCATGCAACTGTCCCAGCCCACGCAGCTTGGGTTGCCAGGGGTGGTGAGTTTGCAACCTCACCCATGAGCTTGTTGGGCAGTGGTTAGATGTTAGCAGGGTGGTGTGTGTGTGTGTTCAGAACAGCACGTCTTGCCAGTGGAGTAGGGACACAAAAACATCCACATATAATACACTTAGAATCATTCCTTAGGTCTCAAACCCAAAGCTGCTGGGGTAGTGGTGCACGCCTGTAATCCCAGTACTGGGAGGCTGGGGCAGGAGGATCGCTGTGAATTTGAGGTCAGCTTGGGCCACAGAATGAGTTCAAAGCTGAAATACAAAGCGAGACCCTATCTCAAAAAAACCAAGCCAAACAAAACCAAACCCAAACAAAGCAACCAAAGCCATCCTGAGGTAGGATAGCAGAAATTATAAAAATATAAATTAAAAATAGGCAAAAAGGAGACAAGAAAATTGGGCTATTTTATTTTTTGAGACACAGTCTCACTACATAGTCCAGGTTGGCCTTGAACTCACTGTGTAGCCCAGGCTGACCTCAAATGCTTGACGATCTTCATGTCTTAACCTCCTGAGTGCTGGAAATTGCACTTTTAGGTAGGTGCACCACCGTGCCTGGCGGAAATTACGACTTTAAAAGGAACTGCGGCTCAGGACACAGAAGTTGCTCAAGGCTTTCCCTGTCCAGCAAACACACTCAAGGAATGGTTGTTAAGAGACACAGGAAGCCTGGAAACCGGGCTGGAAACCTGTCCTTTCACCTGGGAATTGTGCTTCCTCCACCCTCAGGGAAGCAGCAGAATACCTGGAAAGGGCTTGCATTCTGACAAGCTGCTGGCTGGGTGACCTGACAGACAGAGCCACACTCTTGCCAGCTGTCTGGAAGACGCTCTGAGACCCCATAAATGCACCCAGCTCCGGCTCACAAGGTGCCCCTCTCTCTCCCGGGGTGGTTTCTTTGAGAGTGCCCCTTTGCATTTCCACCTGTGAACCTTTTTGGTCCTCATACTGACCCGTGCTGAAAATTCTTTTTCTGCATCATGAATCAGTGGACCTGTAAATGTTCTTTGCTTAGGGTGGGTTAAGTTCCTCATCTCAGCTTCGGGAAAGTCTTCAGTACCAGTGTGCAGGCCACGCTGCAGAGCACGATGACATCTTCAGGCCACACGGCGTTGCCCCCCACCCCGGCCAACTCCAGAACAAGGCACACATGTTCCGGCCACCTCGCCCTGCAGCCCATTAGGAAAGGAAGTGTTCTTTAGAGGCCCTCCTGCTGTGGGGTGGGACCTGGTTTAAGTACTTATACTTTGTTTTTTGAGACAGGGTCTCGCTATGTAGTTCAGACTGGCCTTGAACTCACTATGTAGCCCAGGCTGGCCTCAAAGTGATCCTCCTGCCTGCCTCAGCCTCCCGAGTGCTGGATTACAGGCATGTGCCACCACGCCCAGCGAAACGGAGATCTGGACGATTTTTTCCTTTTGCACAGCAAGAACCGTAAATTGCACCTCCTCCCGCCAAAAGGAGCCGCTCTCAGTAACCTCGCCAGACACCCACTCTGGGAGCTCCTTTGCCTAGCGAGCGGGCAGCTCAGGGTTAGGGTGGGCGGGATAGGACCGTAGCCCCGCCCTCTTCACCGCCTTCCACCACGCCCCCGCGACGTCGCTCCGCGCCCTCCGGCCTCGGCGCCGGGCTGCGGCCGTCACGTGACCTCACTTCCGGCGCGGGAGTCCCGAGCTGGCCGCGCGCTGTCTACCGGCCTGCCCGTTCTCCCCGCAGCGTGACGGGCGCCGCGGCCGAGGGGAGGGGGGTTCGCCCGGTCGCCGGCAGCGGAGGCCGTTGTAGAGCGAAGCCCGCCCCCCTCCCCGCTGCCCCGCCGCCCGCCCCGGCCCTCGCCCCGCGCGGCGCGGACGCCCCTGGCCCGCCACGGCCCGACCCGCCGCCTCCCTCTCCTCAGCCCGGCCGCGGCGCGCGGCGTTGGCAGCGGAGCCTCGAACCCGAGCGACCCGCGGCCGCCCGCCCGCCCGGTATGGGGCTGGGCTGAGGCAAGGACAGCGGCTATCGGGCCCCCGCAGCCCGCGGCTGCCCCGTCGGGACCGCCGAGGAGACTCTCGGCCGGCGAGAGAGGTACGCGGGAGGCCGGAGGGTGGATCGGGCCGTGGGGACCCGGGAGCCCGCGGCAGGGCAGGTCGGGGAGCCCCGAGAGTCCGGACGGCGGGGCGGGGGCAGGGTCCACGTGGGGGGCGTGGAGGCCCGGGAGGGCGCGGGTGCGGACACCGGGGCGCGAGCGCTGATTCAGCTACGCTCTGGAAGTCCCCGAGGTAGGTGATCGCAGGTGGCGTCGCCTGGGCCCACGATAGGTTTGTGGGGTGATCGCAAGTGGGGTGTCGCTACGGCCCGCGATGGGTTTGTGCGGTGCTGACTGTAAATAATCGAGTTCATCCCGCACCGCCGAGCTGTAGGGCGCTTTGCAGATCGCCTCATTTTACGGAGAAACTAAGGCCCGGGGAGGAAAGGCTGACTCAGTTAAGGACTTTGGTAGTGAGGATTAGACGAACCGAGAGCCCTAAACTCTTAACTTACTTATTTTTCTGGCCACTTTGCTTTTGTGGGTGGTTGTTTTGTTTTTTTTGTTTTTTTTGAGATAGTTGCTATGTAGTTCAGGCTGGCTTTGAACTATGTAGCCCAGGCTGGTCTCCAGCTCACAGCGTTCCTGCTGCCTCAGTCTCCCCCGTGCTGGGATTGCAAGCATGTGCCACTGTGCCTGTCTGGCCCTTTTCTTCTCATTCTCTTTACAGAGTGAGACTGTGGTGGAAATGTGACAACTGGGTTTTACAAAATTTGGTAGGGATGGAGATAGAATTGAGAGGGAGGGAATAGGACTGAGAATTGTCAGTAACTCAGTTTGAGGCTTCTCAGTTTGAGGATTTGGAAAGCTTTTGTGACAGGTGTTCATTGTTTTCTCTTTCCCTAGATCTGACAGAAACATCCAAGGATCTTGGTGTCTGGACATAGGAGGTATGGATCACTCACATAATTAACTACTTATCACCACTGTCCTGGAGCTATATTTAGTGGTTATATTAGTGCATTATGAGTGGATGTGGATGGAGTTGTAAACCTAGAAGCAGAAACTGGCATTTAGTTCATGATTCTGAACTAAGTGGGTAGAACATACTTGAGTATGGAATGGCTATTTTTGATCTATGAGGCAGAAAGTTAGCATTCAAAAAATCTCAGAAATGCAGGGTCTTTCAAGATGAACAATGTCTTCTAAAGGGTTTGTTGCTAAAGTGAAGCTGTTCATTTGAGGGACCAGTCAGTATGTAATTGAAAGACTCTATCTTTGGTTAGAACTCAGCCTTTTTGTCAAAGTGCATGCACTGATTTCATTTTACTGGACTGATTCGGTTTTACTGGACCGGATCATATGCCGCATTCTTTTCTCTAGAAAGGATTGTTGTCTTCCCAGAATAGGCGACTGTTGCCAAAATAGATGTATGTGGGCATTCCATCTTGGTTGAACAACCCCTTTTTAAAGTCCTTCACTTCCTGGAAGTTGTTTGAAATAGTGAGCCTGTTAATAATGATTGTCATAGAAGATAACCTTTGCTACTGTCCTTTTTAGGAGAAAATTATCCACCATTAGATCAGGCTGAGGGTGGACCAGTTAAGATTTTAAACATTGATAGAATGGCAGTGTCTGTTTTTAGTCAGGGGACTGTGTAGGAAAAGCACACCGTGTGACTCAAGTTATAAATGAATAAAAGTATTAAGCAGCAGTTTATTTTGAGAAGAAAGTTGATAAACTTTAAATTGATGCTGTATTGTGTTGTATATGGGAGGAGCAGTTTTCTTCATCCAGGTCAACCAGTAAGCGTTGTTCAGGCTGCTTGTAATGAAAGTTTTAGTTTACACCTGGCTTGAAAGAAATAGGATAGGAAGGACACAAGTAGGAAAGTAGTGTCGTAGTGATGAGAACAAATGTCTGTGTGCCTGACAGTATCTGCTGGAGAGCTGTTTGCTCTGCTTCTCAGATGCGGCAGCTAAAATACTTCAGCTGTTTAGTCAGCCCTTAGTTGTCTGATTCAGGCAACATGACTTTCCCATCCACGTCATGTTTCAGGTATTCTTAATGTGTTGTGGGACATGTGTTGACAGCTGTAGAAGATTGTATGGAAAGAGCTGGACTTGGGAGTCAGACCTGACTTCAAAATCTGATTTTCTTTTTTTTTTAATTTTTGATTTTATTAACCTTTGTGTTTTTTTGAGATGCTGAGAATTGAACCCAAGGCCTTTGTACTGAGCTACATTCCCAGCTCTTTTTAGACTCTTGAGACAGACCCCTGCTAAGCTGCCCAGATTGGGCTCAAACTTTTGGTCCACCAGCCTCAGCCTCCCAGAGAGCTGGCATACAGGTGCGCTTACACTGCACCTGTCCACTCGGAACTAACTTTTCCAGTGCTAATAGTCGTTGAATGAGGTTATTGCATACTACGCTCTGAATTACATTCTTGACAGGAATTATCTCCCTTAAAGTTCACTTTCCAGATGGGGAACTGAGATTCCATAAACCTAGAGATAGTAATTTGTATGTTATAGATAGTAATATGGAGCTTGGATTCCCCGGCTGTCTTTAGAGTCTTATCTGTAAGTTGCCAAAGTGCCCTGAATTCTTTTCTTGGCAGATTAATAAAGAATGCTAACACTTCGAGGGACTTGAGGATTATCTGAGGCACAGGTGAAGGAAGGAACACTGCTAGGGCTGGGGTGTGGCTCAGGGGCCAGAGCTTGCCTCCCTAGTGTGGGCAAGGGCCTGGGTCTGGTCCCGAGCACCTCCCCAGAAAGGAATGCTTGTCCTGTGTGTACTGTTTTCCGTTCTGGGTACTGAATTTAGTTGTGCCTGATAGTTTTGTGACCACTGTGAACATGAGGTGTTTTTTTTTTTTTTTTTTGTACCGGGGATCCAACTCTGGGACCTTGTGCTTTCGAGGCAGGCAGCCACTGAGCCAAATCCCGGCTCATGAGGTTTTAAAAATAAGAATAAACTTTATTCCTAAAATAACTAGTAATGTTTGGAGACCTGCCCAGAATGGCATTGCTGTAGCTGCAGGACCTACTCCATGACCAGATCCTCAGGCCTTCTGTGACAGTGTCGTCTGTGTTTCAGTACTCCAGGTGATGGCGAAATCAGAACTTTATTCTTGGAAACTACAGCAGAGTGGTTGTAAATTTCTAAAATCTTGGATGACAGAGCTAAAATTTCAAAGATGGCCTTGATAGTATGTTTGATCTGAAGTGGATTTTGTTTGCTAGTGTACTTGGTGACCTAGACTAATCATGAGACCTTGTGTGTGGACAGATCGTAGACTAGACAAGAGTCAGCAGCTTAGCGCTTAGGAAAGAACACAGTCTTTAAACTCTACCAGCAGTCCCCAGGTGTGCTAAAAGAAGGTCATCTGGTGTTGACATTGGTGAAGGTGAGGTACCTGGTTGTCACCCGAAGAATTCAAGTGACAGGCTATGTTCTGAGTACTGTAGTCTACCCCATCCATGCTTCACTATCTGCAGTTTCATTGCCGCTGTGGTTCAAAATTATTAAATGGAAAATTCTAGAAATAATTCGTGTTAAGTTTGGTGCTCTTCTGAGTAACAGTGTAAAATCGCACGCTGTGTTCCCCTCTCTGGCCTGGGATGCGAATGGTCACTATGTCCCACCTATCTGCTCAGCGTGTGCTGCTTGCCCCTTAGTAGCTGTGTTGTCATGTTTCTGTACTCGAATTTGGATAACCCTTCTTTTACTTCTCGATGGCCCAGAAGCGCACCAGTAATGATGTGACAACAGAAATCTGCAGGTGCTCCCTTTGAAAGTACTGTAAGATCACAGAACTTTCAATACAGTATATTGTTAACTTGCTCTGTTTTTATTGTTGTTACTGTATTTTGCCTAATGTATAAACTGAACTTTATTACAGGTATGTAGGTATAGGAAAAAGTGTATAATAGGGTAATGGTATGACCAATAATAATGGTATTATCCACAGTTTGGGGTACTCCTTTGGGACCTCGGTCTGTATCCTCCATGGTGAAGGGATTGGTCTATGCTGTATCTTGTCTGGCTAAATTTGGACCCGGGGCAACTGATAGGACTTAGCTTTTGGTTTTGGAACTTTAAATTGAAGCTTACTGGCTTATGTGTGGAGAGGGGAACTCTGTAATGTTCAAAACCATATTGCAGAATAACCCACCTACCAGATAACATGCAAGAAGCAAGGAAATAATTCTTAGATTCTTATTTGGTCTTCATATTTTGAGAGATAAATAAAGAGAAATTGGTGCAGATTTTAGTTAAGATTTAGATTTTTAAAACTTAAGGATTCTGGGCTTATTGAGAAAAGTAGGCATTTATAAAGATAAAACCTGTAAAGTTAACAATAGCTTGTAAAATAACTGTAAAATATATATGAGTTTGAAACACTTGCATTGGTAAGATTGACAATGGAGGTAATGTAGCTAGGCACTTGAGGTGTCCACCAATCAGGAGGCTGAGGCAAGATGATTGCTAGAGCCAGGAGTTTGAGGCCAGCCTGGGCAATATAGCAAGACCTGTCTCACAAAAACAAAACAAGACAATTTAGAGGTTATATAAAATGTCATGAATAAATAATTGGTAAGTAGAAAAATGTGATCTCTTGGGATGTTTAAAAAATGATTTTTTATGGTAATATATAAAAAGCGAGAGAAAAATGGAATGGAAGAAAGAGCTGTCCAAACAATCAGCTGTAGACTGAAGTTCTGCAGAGAGGTTGCCCTAGCCCTGGGCCTGGTAGCATCTTAGAGTTAGCTCCGGGCCTAGGATCCCAGATGGTAAAACATTAGCCCAGTGGATGGGAGACTGCAGCATTCCTCCTTCAGTCAAAATTGTCTCTCTCGTTGACTCTTTGTTGTGCTGACTCTGGATCTTGCTTTAAAATGATCAAGTGGCACTCAGAGTTTGGATAGGAATGAAGTTGAATTTCTGCGAAAGTGGGAGTCAAGTGAGTTAACTCTTTCCAGCAAAGTGAGTTAACTGTAAAGTAGGACTTCCTGATTAGGTAGAAAGGGATTTGCTGATGTCTAGAGAACCTTTTTTCAGAAATTTTACATAAATGTATTGTTGGGTGGTAAGGTGAAAGACAATCCGCCTTGGTAACAGCAAGCTAGATTAATTGACCCTTTTATTTTATTTAGTTCTTATTTTATTTCCCAAGGGAGTTGGGCATTGAAATAAAGAGATGTGAGAATGGAAAAAAGAATAGTGCTGAAAGGTAACAGATTGAGAGTAGTCATAGCAGCATGTTAGTGAAGAGTCTGGGGTCAGAATCCGCATCTTTTTGTTTGGGTGTTCTTGTCACCTTTGCCTTTATTTTGTATTTTAGTAATGATGCCTCTCAAAACTCAGTGCTTTTCTACTGAGAACCAGTGTTTTCACACTACTGGGGATGGAACGTGGGGACTTGGCATGCTGGACAACAGCCCTCTGCCACTTACATAACTACATCTCTAGCCCTTAATTTTATTTTCTTGTTTTAAGACAGGGTCTTGCAGGGCCGGGGATTTAGCTCAGTGGTTCCACCGCCTGCCTGGCAAGCACAAGGTCCGGCATTCGATCCCTGGTACCAAAAAAGAAAGACTGGGTCTTGCTAAGTTGCCCAAGTGGCCTTGAACTTGCCATCCTCCTGCCTCAGTCTCCTCAGTAGCTGGGATTACAGACCCCTGTTTTATCACCAGCTCTCTGAGTAGGCATCCCTGTCTGCACCTCTGGGTTCTCAGAGGCCCGGTGGCTGCTCCAGGCCACACAGACGAGAGGAACACAGGGAGCCTGTGTCCCACATCTCATTCCCTGACCTCTTGCTTGTTCCTGGGCCTCCCCAGGGTGCTGACCCTTGTAGGGCCATATGCCTGGGTCCTTAGGGCAGGGACCATGGACAGCAGCTGTCCCTGACCCCTTTCTGCTAGGTGACTGTGGCCTGCAGGTC